AAAAAACAATGCAAAGACCAATGCAAGCCAACATGGCAAGGCAAAAGAAATGCAAACCCCAAATGCAAAGAAAATGCAAAAATAATGCAAAGGGTAGGGCTGGGAATGATTTTGGGGCAAGGCCAAGTGTGGCTGGCAGAGTACCTCCTAAGGTTAGGGTTTGAGGGTTCAGTGTCTGGGTCCTGGAGTGTAGGTTGTTTTGGTGCAGGCTTGCGATTTCGCTTCAGGGCTCAGTGGGTTTGGGATTTTAGGGCGGGATGTCCTTGCATACTGGAACTACAAAAGAGGATGACATAGGGAGCCACAGGGGAACAATTCGGGGACAACAGGTTACTGACCGAAAAAGACAGTGTAGAGACTGCTGGATTGATCTTCGATCAGACTATAGGTATCCCTGTTATGGCTAGAGTCTTTCAACTCTGCCAGTGATAGCCCGGGAATAATGGAATGGACTTGCAACGGCAGCGAGGGCAACAGGTAATTGCTAGACAGTGAGAATAGTAAAGGCACAACCAGAAGAGGAAAACGATGAATGATGTCCTGGACACGCCAATCCTAACAGCTTCTGCGTCGCAAGTGATGCAGTTAAATGACAGTAGAACGACAAGAGCGCCTGTAGTCATGAGAATGGCAAAGCTGGTCACACGATTTGGAGCGTTCTTGCGTTTTTCTCACACAACCTTTCAATGCGTGATTCCACAATGGATTCTGTGCCATTTCTGATCCCAGATATCCTTAGCATCCCCAAGAGTAGCTTGATCTTCATAATGCATCGTTTGACCTGCGAGCTTCAGGCGCCCATCAGTACCAACGCCAAGGGAGCCTGAGCCAGTGGAAGGGCCCACGATTGCTTCTGGCCGCCATGAGAATCGCTAGACTTTTCTGGGGTGTCCTTGCACATAGTGAAAGGGATCTTTGAACCACAATCGTCCTGTGTTACCAGTTCAAAGGGGTGAAGCACTGGCGTAGCGAGGCAAGAACATGTACGCGAGCAATAGTAGGGGGTTCTGATTATAACCCCCCCCCCCAAAACCAGTAGAGGGGTCTGAATAATCCGCGGGGTCCCAAACAAGTACGGGAAAACTTGTTGGGGGGGATCCCAGAGGAACCCATAAACCCTAAACACTACGCGCTAAGCCCTCTGGCCTAAGGCTTGGGATATATTTGCAATTACACATTAATAAATCCCTTCCCTCGAATATTGAAACCCACCCTAATATATAGAATTCTAATTAAATTTCAATTGATTTGAAGCTAGCATGCACTATTCCGTTTCTATGT